TTTGTCATCTCTCAAAACTAAGGGCGGCGCCCACAAAATAAAAAAAAAAAAAAAAAAAAGCAGACAAAACCCAGAATTGCCCATAGGCGGCGCTTTAAAAGCCTTTCCAGCTCTTCAGTTTAGGCCTCATTCACACGAGAAAAGGTCGGGACGTACAGCTCCGTGCTGCGTGCACGGCCGTATCGGGCAGCTCCCAGGAAGGACAGGTGCTGCGTGTGATTAGTACGCAGCCCCTGTCCTTCTCTAAGGGAGTACACGGCCGTATGCCGCCCTGCGCTCACCCCAATTGCAAGTCCCTACGGGTCTGCGACTGGAACGCAGACAGGATCCATCCTGTCAGCGTACGAGTACGGACAACCGCACCGACGTGCAGGGTGGGTGAGGGTATGGCCGCGTAGTCCCATAGAGAAGGACAGGGGTACTAATCACACGCAGCATGAGGCTGTACGTGCCGGCCTTTTCTCGTGTGAATGAGGCCTTAGTTACTGGTGGATGGCCAGAGAATGATTGCTCTCACTGTGCAAATACTCACTTGCTGCATCACAGTCATCACCTGGGGGGTGTTACGTTCCCAAGCATGTAGAAGTGATGCAGCCACCCAAATCACTTCCACTATGAAGGCGGCAGCAAAAATGTCAGCAAACTCTGCAGCTGCTATAAATGACCCCTGTAAACTACGACTCCTCCCCATTCTCAATGCTCCTGTCCTTCATGTTAAAGTATATTGTATGTCCGGGGCAAATATAATAAAAAAAATTAAAAAAAACCTTTTTTGTCTTGAAATCCTCCTGAAAAAAAGCAGTGCACTGCCGGTGTCCTGAACCCCATATCTGTATATCTGGAGTGTGAGATCTCAGGTACTGCCGCCTCTGACCACTAGTCTCAGGAGATCTGGAGTGAGCCCCATAGCTGTATATCTGCAGTGTGAGATCTCAGGCACTGCCGCCTCTGACCACTAGTCTCAGGAGATCTGGAGTGAGCCCCATAGCTATACTGTATATCTGCAGTGTGAGGGGATAAAATTCAAAACAATAACAACCACTTAGAAAGTCGTCCACAGCTCTGCTCCCAACTATATCCCAACTTTCCAGCTGCCTCATCAACTCCTCACATGCTTGCCTCCAGGACTTCCCTAGAGTCTGCCCCATGCTCTGGAACTCTTTACCCCGACCTGTCCGTCTGTCTCCCACTCTGACTGCCTTTAGGCGATCCCTTAAGACACATCTCTTCAGTGAAGCCTATCCCACCTCAACCTAACCACTCAACCATCACATTCTCAGACAATTCATCCCTACACAGCTCCCTCCTTATGTATCACTTGCCCCTCCCTTTAAGATTGTAACCCCTCGGGGGCAGGGCCCTCCTTACCATCTTGTCTTGAATTTTATTGCGATTGTAATGCGTTCCTGATATTGTAAAGCGCTGCGCAAACTGTTGGCGCTATATAAATCCTGTATAATAATAATAATTCCAAGCTAACCAAAGCGGTTTTCTGGCTCACTCGATCTCATCAGTTCCAGGCCACAAATCTGTAATAAAAAGGACAAAACACGGCTGCATGGTTTACAATTTTACTGTGTAAAACTATATACACGCACTGTACATACATGTGACCACTCAGGCTGGAGGAGCGCAGGCAGAACCTGAGCCGATTGTTACAGAAAGACGCAGGAGAGCCCGTAATAAATACAAAGTATAAAACACGGCTATACCAAGGACAATGACGACTTCATCGTCCGGCTTAAAACTAGCAGAGCCGGGCTAGTGGGGGGTGTACGCGTGATCGCCGGGGTCCTGACGAATCAAAATGACAGAGAGAACTGGAGGTATAATAATAAAATACATATACAATGCAGCCTGTCACTGGTATTCACGCAGCGGTCTCTACTTTGCTCTCCCTGTCACATGCTTCTATTACAAGTTGATCCTGCCAGTAAGACCCCATTCACACCTTATAATATCTTCAGGTGCGATTAGGGATTCCTGCGTCAGGAATCGCTAATTTGGCGTTTACCAATATTTATATGCCGAACACACCGATGCTAAGTAACAATACCGGAACTTCCGCTAGCATGGAGCCGGCTTCCCAGGTAATCAGGAAGCCAGGCGTCGTGTCATTACCCGCGGCCTGGCTTCTTGATTTCTCGGGAAGCCAGCTTCCCAGCCAATTAGCATTGAGCGGGCTTCTCGACCAATCATGAAGCCGGGAGGCGGGTCATTACCTGCTGCTCGGCTCCACGCTGATTGGCCGGGAAGCCAGCTTCCCAGCCAATCAGCATCGAGCCGGCTTCTCGACCAATCAGGGAGTCGGGAGGCAGGTCATTACCAGCTGCCCGGCTCCATGCTGATTGGCCGAGAAGCCAACTTCCCGGCTAATCAGCATGGAGCCAGGTCTTTAGCCGCCGGCCGCCTTCCTGATTGTCCAGGAAGCCAATCAGCATCGAGCCGGCCAATCAGCATCGAGTTGGCCACACAGCATCGAGCCGGCCAATCAGGAAGCCAGGTGCTGAGTCATTGCCCACCGCCCACCTTCCCAATTGGGCCGGGAAACCAGCAACATTTTCCCTCACGCCACTGCCGGTCAGAGGAAATCTCCCTCTGACCAGACGCTCCGGTACTGGAGCATTTTGGGCAAGTACGAGTGCTCGGTATCGGCACCAATACTAGTATTCCTAATGCAAATGAATGATGAGGGGACAGCCGCAGCAATTGAATGCCGGCACGCTGCCTGTAATACAATTCCATGCGGTTAGGGACCAATCACTCTTCCCGGACGCATCGAACGTGCCAACAGCAGATTAGGGATTCCTGCAGCAGGAAATTGCAAGTTCCTGACGCAGAGATCCCTAATCGCCCCTAAAGATATCTGTGTAAATGTAGCCCAAGCCTGTTGTTTTTCCACTTCCTGTAACAGGCCATGTTGTCTGGCAGAAGTAGCAGTGACGACAAACCATTTACATCCGCCAGGGGGTGCTTCCAAATGTTATTTATGTGGTTTATACCTATTCTCCCAAATAAAAACAACCGCATTTAAGACTCATCTGTCCACAGGGTGAAAGGGCTGCTGTGCAATTCCACGACTGTGTTGTCACCCTACAACAGGAAGTGGAAAAACAACAGATCTGCTGTGCGGATCAGCAAGTAATACAACTATGTCACGGGGGGAGGGGAGGGGTCTCGAAAAAAACAAACTGGTGTGAAAATGCTATTGACAGACATCATCAGATACTGAATGCCATTTCTGGAACTTATGTCTACATGTCCCATCCTCATAAACCGAGATGGAATAAAAGACAGCGGCTGAGATTAGAAGGCAAGTGTTCATTTGACGGAAGGCATGTATCAGAGTTTCTTCACACCAAGCGCGGAGCAGAGCAGTTACAGAACGCATCAAATGGTATTTTGAGCTCTTGTTCACACCGCAGCGTTCAGTTCCAGAGCATGTGGAAAAAATGCATTTATTCTGCTCTGGACTGCACCAAAATGCATGCAAAGAGCAGAAAAAAATAGGGCTTGCTGCAGTATTTCCACACGCTCTGGAACTGAACGCTGTGGTGTGAACTAGAGCCCAAAATACCATTGGAATACATTGGATGCATTTTTGATGCGTTCTGTAACTGCTCTACTCCGCACTTGGTGTGAACTAGCCCTCAGATAATTAACCAATGATCATTTGAGCCATCTGCAATAGGGACATTCTTCCCCCCTGACCACCAATGTAAGGGGCTCCCTTCCCCCCCTGACCACCAATGTAAGGGGCTCCCTTCCCCCCTGACCACCAATGTAAGGGGCTCCCTTCCCCCCTGACCACCAATGTAAGGGGCTCCCTTCCCCCCTGACCACCAATGTAAGGGGCTCCCTTCCCCCCTGACCACCATTCAATTGGTTTTAGTAAGGGTTCTCAGAGACTTTTTTATCCCATGATGCATCTCTCTCCAGGAGTCAAGTGTCTGTGGCTGTGAGAATCTTGCAATGCCTCAAGGGATTTGTAGTTCCACCACAGCTGGAGGGCCAGAGTTTTGGCTACCCCTGCCTTAAACCTCTGACCAATGTAAGGAGCATTCTTCCCTCTGATCAGAGGGAAGAATGCACCTCACACTAATGAATACCAATGTCACCAGCATTCTTCCCAATAATCAGCAGTTTAATGGGGCTCTTCTCCCAAAGGGTACCAACGTCAGGGGGACCCTCTTCCACTGACCACCAATATCAAGGGCATCCTTGATATTGGGCCCTTCTCCTACAGGCTACCGGTGTAGTTGGTCCCCCCCGCCCACTGACCACCAATGTGAGGGGGTCTTACCCCTCGTATCCATTTCATTTAAATATCATTTTGTCATAAAGCAGCAGTACCTGGCTGTCAAAAATGAAAAATAAGCCACATTGTCTTTTTATTTATTCCTATATCTACAACTTACTTTCCATGCTAATGTACCGTGAGCTGTAGATATAATAATCATTAGCAGGGGTTCCCCCAGACCTGAACGTTATGTCAAGGGTTCCTCCATGTTAAAAACGGTTGAGAAAGGCCATTCTAAAGCCCAGCACAGTACCACAAGCAGCAGCACTTCAGCACTGTTAATACTTTAGGCACTTTTTAGGCAAGGACAGGTTCCCTTGAAGTAGGAAAAAGTCTCGTTACGTGGCACATTTTCTCACAAGGGGACAATGGAACTACTTCCTGTGTCGTGGTGTACTCGCACACCAGTTGGTGCTGCTTATCATCTATATACATTCATAAATACAATGTTCAGCTGTATTCACAGGGGTGCCCGCACCCGGCAGGGCAGTGGGAGTTTGTCTGCATCCAGTTCATGATGTGCTGGAGATGCCCGCCATGTCCACAGCCTTGGCACCAGACAAACAAGCCTTTCACTACGTGGTGGCATACCGCGCACATGCTGGCACACTGGCGACACCTGGTGGGGAGACAGAGAAATGGTTACTAATTCAGCAGAGTATCATTAGGAAAATAATGCATCGGTAGGCAAACGCCGGCTGTGGTGAAACTGCAAATCTCATCACGCATCTGCTTCTGGGAGTCATGCAATGCCTCATGGGACTTATAATTCCGCAGCAGCTGGAGGGTCGGAGTAAACTTGTAATGTCTGAAACAAGGAAGCTGCCATTGCTGAAGTCAAGCTGAAGATGGTAGCTGCCTGCACACACATTAAAGTTGACATGTTTCTTTTGCACATGATGCTATGTTCTAGGGATGCACCGATACCGGTTTTTCAGTATCGTGTTGCGAGTACCGATATTTAGGTGGCGGATCATGACCCGTCGCCCAGCTTCCTGATGAGCTAGAACGCCGGCTTCATAGGCAAAGAACAATGGCTTCACTTGCCGAGGCTGCCTGGCTTCCTGACCAATCAGGAAGCAGGGCAGCAAACCATGAGGTGCTGTTCGGTTTCCTGATTGGTCAGGAAGCCAGGCTGCACGTCATGACCCGCATGGAGCCGGCTTCCTTTCCAATCAAGAAGCCGGAACGCGAGTCATGACGTGCCACCCGGCTTCCCGATTGGTTAGGAAGCCAGGCTGCCTAGCCACAAGTAAAGCTGGCCTTCTAGCCAAATCAGGAAGCCGGTCATAACCCAGCCCCCAGCTTCCTGCGTGGAAAGGAAGTCGGCCCCATGCTCCCTCACCACTGCCGGTCAGAGGGAGATCTCCATCTGACCGGAAGCTCCGGTATCAGGAGGCAAGTATCAGAGCATTGGGCGAGTGCAAGTACTCGCCCAAATACTCAGTATCGGTGCATCCCTACTATGTTCTGTTAATTATTTCACTTCTCACCGGTCACAGATCCAGCCCTTGTTGCTCATGGGTCTCTTGCAGTTGCTGCAGTTGATGTGGAGGGTGGTGGAGGCCTGGTTTAGGCAGTTGATGGCACTGCACGTGCTCAGCTTGATCACCTGATTAGACACATTCCACAGCTTGAATCGCTGTAACAGGTCGATGTAGGAGGTGAACCAGTGCTCCTATAATAGAGACACACAACCTTTATTAAGGGGGGTATTTGGGATCATAAAATACAAACTACATCTGCACAATCTGCATTTATAATATGAAAAACATTTTTAAAGAGCAATTTCAGGCAACAAGTAACAGCAGTCAGTGGGCTATGAATGCTAGCCTGCAAACACTGAAGTTAAAGGGGACCTTGCAGAACAATGCAAGGTCTGATTATAATGTCCAGGCACCTTCCTCCTGTAAAAAATAATCACATGCCCTTAGTGGGTGCCAAATGTGCCTGTAAACAAAACAAAAAAGGGAGCAAGGCAAATATAAACCCAACTTACTTCCTTGCAGGCACATTTTGCATAATTTAACACCAGGTGATGTTTAAAGGGGGAGGGAGCCCAGACATATGCAGACCTGGCATTGTACTGCAAGGTCCACTTTAAATTCAGAAAGATTACTTAACACCCTTAAAGCCTAACGCTGGGCTCAAACCCCCCCCCCCCAAAACTCCCTGAGGGTCATCTCCAGTGGTATTTTATTATGCCTACCTTTTGTTTAAAGTCTTCAGTCCAGGCCCATGATGCGCAGGGTTCTCTTCCTCTTTGGTCTTCACTGGGCCAAGGGCAGTCCTTAATACTGCAGAGAGCTGCACTAATGTGATGTCAGCACCTAACTCTGCACCATTACACAGCAAATGCAGGGAGCTGTGGCGATGCCCACTCAGGGGACAGGCCCATTAAACCCTGCACTAACTCTATATTCCCAGTCTTGTGTGTGGTGAGGCTGGGAGTTACCCGGAAAACGGATGACATATCTGTGAAGAATCACCGTCACACTGCCATTGCGGGTTTGAATATGAATGGTGGCAGTGAGGAAAGACCTTAGAACTTATTTTTGTTGTATGCAAGGGGCAGCAAGGAGAATGTTCCACAATCAATAGCTGCCGAGCTCCAGCATCACCACATTACTGACAGACAGGAGTGAAGTGAACTGGTTTACTGAATGATCTCCAAGCTTAATGTGACACTAAACTCAGGAGTTACATCCTGCATTCATGTATTCCATTAACAACAATGTATCTTATTTGTGTATCACTCGGCTGTAGATCCTCCAATCACCTCTGAATTGGTGCTGACACTGGCCTTCCTTCTAAAGGGTGGCTACTATCATTCCCCATGGTCCCTGTGTGTTGTAAAGTAGTCACCACTCCAAGCTCCCTCCCGGGATGGACTACAATCTCATGTATAGTTTACCAATTTGTATTGAGATTGTAGTCCATCCCGGGAGCGAGCTTGGAGCGGTGACTACTTACCCTGCTGGGCGTAGAAGCACAGCATGTCGCGGACGGTGGGGTTGAAGAAGTCAGTGGGGAGGCGGTTCTCATACAGCGCGTGAGAGATAGAAATGAGAGAGAAGGACTCCACTGGAGTGAGGGACATGGTCTCAGCTTCGTTCCCGCTCACGTGAGGAGAGTCGGCTTTATCCTGTAAGTGGTCCAGGGCCGAAGGGTTGTCTGTGATCTCATGACGAAGCGGGAAGGCCTCCTGGGGAAGGACGTACTCCTGCTCCTCCGCTGCACATGACACAAGGGATATTAGTGGTTACATGATGGACTATGGACTCCCAATACAAAATACACTCAGCCTCTATCTGGCATACAAGAGATCTTTCAGGATCCTGTTAAGTGTCAGAAGCCTCTGATGGAAGCTGAGGGCAGCATAGTTTAGACATTTAGTGTAAACACAGCCAGCTTCCATCACAGTCATTACTTGATGACAGATAAAACCAGTTAACTGCTAACACTATCCACTGTATTCACAATAAAGTTCAGGCAGTTTTGCTGAATTCCGAGTTTCAATAAAGTTTATCTAAAGCCAAAACTTTAAAAATAAAAAACAATGATATGGTATAGAGTAGGGAATGGCTAATGTTTTGCCATTGGGGTGACTTTACCTTCACTGCCTGTCCAGTTGACAGAAGAGGAAGAGAGAAAAATGTCTTCAAAAAGGGAGAAAAATTGCCTCTTGGAGTTATCAATGTAACAAGTGTCCCCTTTGGAAGATTTTTACTCTATTCCTGTTCAGGTGAGAACTAAAAATATTGGATTTTCCCATCACTTTCCATCCCGATGGTCACCAGGACAAATACAGGAGGAGAGTCTCCCCCTCCCAAGGTTCTGTTTACCAGCAGGTACAGCTGCTGCAAATGAGACTTACGATGGGGATGCTCGTGGTCGACCATATACAGCTCATCCTCGTCTCCCTCCACGTCTCCGAGCAAATAGTCAGCAGGGACGTCGCTGCCTTCCGTCTCCTCGTTCTCTGCCAGGAAGGACAAGTGTTAACCAATAACTGAAAATTACACTTACACCCATAATGGAAAAAAATGAAGAAGATCACCTAAAAGCTGAACACTGGGGAAAATGGAAACTACCCTTGTAGTGGGACACAACCCTTATTGTAACTATTAACTCCATTACAAAAACTAGAGGCCATCACCTAAAATTGGTGCACAAGGGGTGTTCAAGAAACCAGATGTGAACCGGCCTGTGAGGAGGATCAGGATGTCCAGAATGTATGTTGAATGGCAGCTGATATATTGCCTGAGGCTGCTGCCATGCAACATACATTCTGGACATCCTGATCCTCCTCACAGGCCGGTTCACATCTGGTTCCCAGACCCGCATAAGTACATTATACATATATATTTATTGTTCCTGTCACCTTCCCTGATATGTTCGGTCCAGGCAGTCAGCTGACCTAGTTTTGCGCCCTCTTGTTGTTCTAACAAGGCTGGTTAGACCCCTGCTACCCTGGTGAGGCCCCCTCAAAGCTCTGGTGAGACCCCCCTCTGTATGTGCGTTATAATTAATCGAAATTAGTCGATTAATCGATTTTAAAAAAATTCGATTAATCGAACAGGAAAATTTTAATCATTACCAGCCCTAATTATATTATATATTATTCATACATTACTGCCAGTGCTGGTACTTCTTTCACTGGGGGGGGGGATCATCGTGTCCACCTATGCCGTCTACTCCTACATGTATGCTGCAGCTCCTTCCTCTTCCTGGTCAATGTGCTGTGCAATGTATTGGTGTGTGTGACCTTCGTCCAGGTGGATCTCCATATTAAGGGGCCATCATATTAAGGAAGAAGATCGGTGTTGCAGCTGCAGAACTAGGGAGCCCATCAAGCCAGGAATAGAGAAGGTGGCTATTGCAAAGGTAGAACTAGAGCGTCCCGCTACGCTGATAGCGCAACCTGTCAGAATCTAGATACACCGTGCAAGTTGTATTCCACAACTGACAGGTTATGCAAAATGTCTTAAACAGGAAGGGGCGGGACTAATTTAGATTAGGGATGAGGGGGGGTGCTCGGGTTTAGTATTGCCTAGAGCAGCACAAAACCAAGATACACCACTGGGTACAGGTACTCCTAGAATGAGATCCTAATAGGTTGGACTTGATGGACTAATGTCTTTATTCAACCTCAAATACTATGTAACTATTATTGATCCCCACCCCAAACCACTGCAAGGGATAGATGCCCATTTTTGCCTGGATACCAGTTAGTAAAAAAAAAAAAAATTTTTGTTTTTTTAATAAAGATTGCAGAAAAAAAACAAAAAAAACAATTTCAACTTGGTCCCGGCTTCAGAGAGATGCGGTTTACGTCACCAACCCTCACTGCTGCCTCCTGACCACCTTTAGTCCAATGAGAATGCACTTCTGCAATGGGCTGGGATGTATTCCCATGGGATTTCGGGTGCCCAGCCATCCCAGGAGGCAGGAGTAAGGCACAGTGATGTCAGTCGTGTGCCCCAAAAGCTGGGACTGAAGATTTTTTTTGCTAATTTTGTTTGGGCAGTGGGGGGGCTGCCAGGGAAACTGATCTTCTGTTCTTCATGGAAGGTACACTTTAATAGACAGACGGAGGAATGTATCAAAACTGGAGCAGACTAAATCTGGAGCAGATTTCCACTGCAACCAATCAGCTTCTCTGTCTCATTTTCAAATCTTACCTGAGCAAACTGCAGAGAGATGCTGATTGGTTCGCTCCAGATTCTGTCTGCTCCAGATAAATTCCCCCCACAGTCTCTTTGAAGAGGAACTGAGC